TGAAAGGGGGAAATTAAAAAACCCCCGGCATGAGGGGGGTGGGAGGGGAAAAAGAGGGGGTGGGAGGGCTGTGGCTCTCTAAGAAGGGATTCCTTACATACGCCAAGATGCAGCTGCTTCTGGGGTGGTGGCAGTAGCTGTGTATAACAGGCATCCCCAATTCAGAGCTCTGGATCAGCCCACTGGGGGGCGGGGCGGGGGAGACTACTGCCGGGTGTGAACATGGCTCTTGATCCAGCACTTCTCTCCTGACTTCCCATCCTGGAGAAAAAGAGATTATCTGCTTCCTGCTCCCCCCCCCTTTTTGCTGAGATGAGGGATGGAGAATTGGTTCGGGGGGGGGGAGGGGCTCTGAGCAGCAAATGCCCTTCTGGAAATCATGAGGTGAAAACAGGGTACAGTAGCAGCAATGCAAAAGTGCCAATGGAACATTTAGCACCCTTGGGATGGTTGGGAGCAGAGTGGGCTACCAGGGTAGGTGGGCCGGTTGGTCCAATCCGTGGCAACAGGAAGGCAAGGTGAGACAACCCCCCCGCCCTGGACCCTTTGGGGAGAGGGAAGAGGGATGGATGTATCGGAGCGCATTAGAATGGGATGTCGGGGTGGGGTGGGGCGTAATATTTTCATTCACATTCTTATGCCCCTGCCCGGAATAACAACAACAATAAATAGACACCAGAGTTTGAAGCCCCAGTTCCCCTGCACAGCTGGGGAGGGGCTCCCTCCCCAGTTTAGTCCCTTGAGTTCGCCGGTGGCCACAAGCCACTGCTGCTAGGAGGACGGGGGAGTGCAGGGGAAGGAGAGAGAGCACGCTCCGGCTCTCTCCGGCATTCCCGTGTGCTCCCCCACTTTCCTTCTCCACAACAGCAGCAGCAGCTCCCCACAGTCTGGTTCAGAGTACGTGATGAGGAGGGCGGGGCAGCAGCGGGAGTCCTCCTGTCCAAGGCAGGGTGACCAGACACACCCAGGACATCGTCTGCATGGGAAAGAAGTGGGGGGGGGGAACAGAAAGAGAAAGGACAAGAATAAGCACCCATAACATTGTTGTGGATTAGAGAGAGCATGTGGCTCAGTCAGCCCCGTAGCTAGGGAATTCTTTGGGAGGGGACCTTGGGGGGGCCGCCAGCTAATTAAATAGAAGTACAGTGCAGGTGGTAAGTTGGAGCACTTTGTGGGCAGCCCCGGAGGGAGGGGGCCCAGAAGAAACACAAGGGGGGCGGGGCCCGTGGGCCCCATGTTAGCTACGGGCCTGGGCTCAGTTCAGGTGTCATGCAAAACCACAGAGGAGGAGGAGGAGGAGGAGGAGGAGGAGGAGACTGGATTTACACCCCACCCTTCACAACCCGAAGGAGTCTCAGAGCAGCTTACAATCTCCTTTCTCTTCCCCTCCCCACAACAGACACCCTGTGAGGTAGGTGGGGCCGAGAGAGCCCTTTTGAGGACTGCCCTTGAGACAACAGCTCTGACAGAACTCACCAGCAGCTGCATGTGGAGCAGTGGGGAATCAAACCCAGTTCTCCCAGATTAGAATCAGAATCCATGGTTTTAACTTAATTAATCGCAGATAGTCTTAACAACGCCCTGACCTGGATGGTCCAAGCTGGCCAGATCTTGGAAGCTGAGCAGGGTCCGCCTTGGTTAGTACTTGGATGGGAGACCCCCAAGGAAGTCTGGGGTCATGACACAGAGGCAGACAATGGCCAACCACCTCTGAACATTTCTTGCCTTGAATACCCATCAAGGGGTTGGCATACGTCGACTGTAACTTGATGGTGCTATCCACCACCAGTCTTAACTACAGTTTTGCCCAATGTTTTAACCTGGATATCTCAACTTAATCCTGACTTGCTTCCCAGCACCGCCTTTCCCCATCTCCAAAGGAAAGGTGATGAGACCAGCATTCGTTGAGGCAAACCAAATTTGAGTGATCATCTGCACACTGGATCTTGGTCGCACATGCTAACCATAGTTAAAATAAGCCATATAACAGTTTCAACCATTGTTAAAATAAAATAAAACACGGGCTATATAAACTTTGTAAAATTAACACTTGTGTGTGTCATCTCTTATTTTGCATTTTATTATGCAATTTCTACTAAGGATAAGAGGGTTGTCTGTCCATGGGAAGAGTAAGAAGCTCCATCGGATCCTGTGCCCCACTAGATGACAGTTCTGACAGTTCTGAGTTGTTTCACTGTGACTGAATAATTTACCACCTTGGGCATTTTAAGGAAAGGCACCTGATTCTCCATCCATCAGCCATTACCTACAATGCCAAGCTCCAGCTACAGGCAGGTGACATTAGTTTCTCCCACTAGTATTCCCAACACTGCCTATGCTAATGCTGGGACTTGCGGGGGGGGGGGCATGTGTGGGCAGGGTGGAGTTTGAGAAGGATGTGATGTCACTTCTGTGTGACTCTCTAAAAATTCCACTGATCTCTATGGTAAAGACGCCGGAAAGAATAACACCTGAAGCCCGTCTGGAAGAACCGTATAACATCAGAGCTCTGCTGCCTGGGTGCTGGTAGGTAGTCACCCCCCTACATAATGTGGCCCTAGATAGGTAATAAATTGTCTGTAAACCGCTCAGAGACCCTTTGGGGTTAGAGCGGTATATAAACTGTAAGTTAAATAAATAAATAAAAGACCATGGGAGCCATTTTTTTCTCAAAGGTGGGAGACTAGGGGTGGGAGTGGGCTCCACTGGGCTCAGGCAATTGGGACGCCTATCTCCAACTAGCAACAGATAAAGTTTATCAGCAGTCCTTCTTATCTGCACTGACTTTTACTATCAGTATGTAATTATTTTTTAACGTTTAATTTTTTTCTATTGTATTTTATTGTTCTATATTTGTTGTAAACTGGCCAGAGCAAACTTCAGAGGATGGCGGAAGACAGGAAGGCCTGGTGTGATCTGGTCCATGGGGTCGCGAAGAGTCGGACGCGACTGTGCGACTGAACAACAATAACAAACTGGCCAGAGAGCTTTGGCTACGGGCATATAGAAACAATAATAATAATAATAATAATAATAATAATAATAATAATAATAATAATAAAATCCTCCCTCTCCCTATCCTTGCCACCTTAAGGCCTAACTAGACATTATTACAGGGAAGGCCTAGTTGCAACCAATGCACCCTCTAAGCTGTGGAGTCTTGTGTGCAAAAATTCTATTTTGTGAGCTACTGGCATTAAAGTTGTGAGCAAGCGATCTGGCCACTGCACAAATTAGTTTGCTCTGGAGCCATCGTTCCTGAGCTAAAACAAGAATGTGTGAGCCAGAGGCTAAAGAACTGTGAGATAGTTCATACAAACTCAGCTTAGAGGGAACACTGGCTGCAACCCGACAATGCTGAGATAATGAGGAATTGGGTGCAAAGCACTTTCAGGGAAGTGCTTCCCCATGGGATGAATTGCTGAGGAATCACTTTTGGGCTTTCTGGTTCTCACCTGTAAATGCTCGCCCCTCCCATGACTCTTACCCCTGACTCCCAGTTTTGGAGCAGGAAGGACTTTAGAATAATGACTGTAGAAGGATGAGGGAGCACTTCCATTGGCGGGAGAGGCGGCTGGCCTGCAAGGAAGGAGGGGGGTAGTTCTCCCCTGCAAATGCTTTATAGTCCCAACCAGGCTCATTTCTGGTTTAAGAGAAAAAAGAGCCAAGGCGAGCATTTGCAGGGAAGGACTGGCACACAGGGGAACGGTAAAGCACCCACCTCCCACCCGTTTATTCTCCCTTGCAAATTCCTCCCCTTGTGAGCATTAGGAGAGAAACGTGAACTCAGAAAGAAGAAGAGACGAAGAGATTGGATCTATACCCCGCCCTTCACTACTCAAAGGAGTCTCAGAGCGTCTTACAAACCCCTTTCCCTTCCCCTCCCCACAACAGACACCCTGTGAGGTAGGTGGGGCTGAGAGAGCTCTGACAGAAACTGCTCTTTTTCAAGGACAGCTCTGACAGAACTATGGCTTGCCCAAGGTCATCCAGCAGCTGCAAGTGGAGGAGTGGGGAATCAAACCTGGTTCTCCCAGATTAGAGTCCGCACACTTAACCACTACACCAAAGCACATCTAGGTCAACCCTTGTGATGGATCAACCCATCTAGACAACAGTTACCACAACTTTCCTTGCTTTTGTGCTGCCAGAGTTTGATCAGTGGCAAACACCATCAGCGCATACTGACCTCCATTGGCTTGGCATTAACAGGAGTACGTTCGCACTGACATACTGTCCGCCCGTTGGCTACCTAGTGAGTTCCCTAAGGGAAGAGAGAAAGGAGACCAAGAAAAGGTAAATATAGCACTCACCCTTCAGAGCTTCGTAAAGTCATGCACGGAGAAGAGGATATAAAGTTATGCTGGCAAGGGAAACACTTTTGCTCTTCCCACCCTTTCCTATGCGGATGCAAGCTGCCCACTGGGGGCACAGAAAGGGGGGGGGGATATTTATTTATTTTTAACAACATTTATATCCTGCCTTCCTGCCCTCACAAGGCCCACCAAGGCAGCTAACAAATAAAAATCACATTTTAAGAAGAGAAGAGATTGGATTTATGCCCTGCCCTTCACTGTCCGAAGGAATCTCAGAGAGGCTTACAATCCCTTTCCCTTCCCCTCCCCACAACAGACCTCCTGTGAGGGAGGTGGGGCTGAGAGAGATCTCCCGAGAACGGCCCTTGAAAGAACAGCTCTGAAAGAACTTGTGACTAACTCAAGGTCACACCAGCAGCTGCATATGGAGGAGTGGGGAATCAAACCTGGTCCTCCCAGATTAGAGTCCGCGCTCTTAACCACTACACCAAACTGGCTTAAAACCACTAAAACCAACAACAACACAACTATTTTATTCATGGCGACAAAATTCCCAGGGCTTTGGTCACCCTGGTGACAGGTAAATTGTGATTTCTTTTGTTCCTAAATGATGCTTGGGTTGGGTCTGACTGATGTGAAGGGGCCCAGAGGGAATCCTTGTCAGAGGGCCCTTGACATCTCTTGAAAGCCCTGTTTCCCACAGTGGTATGTGCTTTTTAGACTTTGAGCTTTCCAAACAAATGCCCTACAGAAGAACAGTTGGATTTATACCCTGCCCGTCACTCGGAGTCTCAGAGCAGCCTACAATCTCCTTCCTCACAACAGACACCCTGTGAGGGTAGGTGGGGCTGAGAGAGCTCTTTTGAGAACTGCTCTTGAGAGAACAGCTCTGAGAGAACTGGGACTGGCCCAAGGACACTCAACTGGCTGCATGTGGAGAAGTGAGGAATCAAACCCAGTTCTCCAGATTAAAGTCCGCCGCTCTTAACCACTACACCAAACTGGCCCTCAGACTTCTCTTTCCAGACAGCAAACTGGTTACATTTGTAAAGTGTTAAGCACCTGCTCCTCTAGTATTCATTACATGGGACTAACGACTGTGGTGAGGAAGGCAATTCTGCACATGCTCGGGGGGGGGGGGGGCAGCAAGCCTTTGAGGGAACTGAACACACACACAAAAATGCCTCCATTTTTGGCAGGTCTCCAAACGCTCCTGTGCGCTTTCTCAGAACGGGGTCATGTCTGTGTGGTTTCTCACAACAGTTCCTTACATACCCTCTGGCTGCATCTTACGAAGCTGCACCCCGGGTGAGGTAATGGAGGCCACGGAGGCTGTGCGGAAATTGGCCGGCAGCATCTCAGCTGAATCGGGGCTGACACCGCGGAGGTCCTTCTCCCGGAACATCTTTCGCCAAGATGGGGAACGGCTGAATGTCTTGGCACTGTCCTGAGAGGCGAGAATCAAAGAGTGTGTGAGTAAGCTTGGAAGACCTCGCACAGCCGGAGGTTTCTGAAGGAGGAGAAACTCACCTCATCCAGCCGCCGGTCTGTTCCCATGGAGATGAGGTTCCCAAATTCTTTTTCCAACATCTGCCTAGCCTAAATGGAAATGGAGAAAATTTTAAAAAACTGTGTTGGACTCTCTTCCCCCTCTTTGGTTCTTCTTGCTCTACAAGGTTTATCCCTCTTTCGCAGAAGAATGTAAGAGCATGACAGATCCATCTAGTCTAACTTCCTATTCCACAGTGACCAACCTGATGCTTCCAGAAGGCCTACGAGCAGGCTATGGAAGCTCAGAGCTACCTCTGCTGCAGCCAGTGTTCCCTCTAAGCTGAGTTAGTGTGAGCTAGCCTCACAGTCTTTTAGCCTCCGGCTCACACATTTTTGTCTTCGCTCAGGAAGACTGGCTCCAGAGCAAACTAATGTGTGCAGGAGCCAAATCGCTCGCTCACAGCTTTAATGCCAGTAGCTCACAGAGTAGAATTTTTGCTCACAAGACTCCAGAGCTTAGAGGGAGTATTGCAGTCCCCCAGTATTGGTATTCAGAGGGTTTCTGCCCCTGAGAATGGAGGTTCCATTGTGGCTAATAGCTATTCATGGATCAATCTTGCATGAATTTGCATAATCCCCCGCTTTTTGCATCAAGTCACAGCTGACTTATGGCAACCCCATGGGGTTTTCAAGGCAAGAGACATTCAGAGGTGGTTTTCCATTGCCTACCTGTGTGTTGTGGCCCTGGACCTCTGGGTGGTCTCCCATCCAAAGACTAACCAGGGCTGACCTTGCTTAGCTTCCGAGAGCCAATGAGATCAGGCTAGCCTGGGCTATCCAAGTCAGGGCAGTTCCCCTTTAAATCCTATTAAACTAGTGGCCATCGCTATGTCCCCTTTTAGTGAATTCCACAACATGAATCACTTGTTGTATAAAGGAGGATGTCCTATTGTCTGTCTGTCTTGAGTCTACTGCCCATCAACACTTTTGGGTGGTCTAGTATTAAGGGGGACGGAGAATTCTCTGTATCCATTTTCTCTCCCCCACGCATCATTTCATGGATCTTTATTTAGGGGTAGGTGAGATGCTAGAACAAATAGTATGTGAAGGAAATGGCACACTTTGGGGACCAAAGGGTTTTTGAGACATGGTTGACAGTCATGCAAATGAGCTTTCTAGATCTCTTGCTCTGAATTTTTATGTAGTTTGGCACAAAAGGTTACCAACCCTTGTGATAGGCAATGGAAAGCAAGGATGGATTCAAGAGGGGATTGATAAACATATGGAGCAGAGGACCATCAGTGGCTATTAGCCACAAGGTATAGATAGAGCTGGGGCAAGTGATACACTGTATTCTTGGTGCTTGGGGGGGGCAACAGTGGGAGGGCTTCTAGTGTCCTGGCCCCACTGCTGGACCTCCTGATGGCACCTGATTGGCCACTGTGGGACAGAGTGTTGGACTAGACAGACCATTCGTCTGATCCAACATTGGCTTCTCTCGTGTTCTTATGAAAAGGCTTCAGGGCTTCCCTCCCTCTTTCAGTTTTCAAGGAAGCACCAGGTACATTTGATTCCTCTCCCTCCTTCTCCTCCCCTTCCCTGACCTCCTGGGTTCTCTCTCCTTCTCCCCACCTTGATCCATCTTCCCCACGACTGAACCTGACCTGTGTGTTCTGGGTAGGGATTTGCAGCAGCAGGGCCAAGTCGTTGCAATCAAAGGTGTCATCCAGGGCGAGGAGAGCCCCGTGTACCCCACTCTCCACCAGGTTGTTGGCAAACTCTTTCAGTCCAATCATCTGCACCCAGCACATGACGCGTTCGTTGGACCAGACCATTACATCTAGAAAGGGAGGAAGAGAAGACAGAGGTCTGCAAGGTCCCTCCTGTGTGATCCTCAATCCTGCTGCTGTCAATGATGTCCTCCCCTCTCTAAATCACAGGGGGTGGTTGTTGTTTTTTTTGGGGGGGAAGGGGAACAATGGCCTCAGAAGGTTCCTTTGGTGCACATGTACCTTTGATTTGGTTCTGACTCTCTTCCCTCCTTCGTTCCAGTTCTTTCCGGTCATAGTTAAGACGCTTCAGGCACATGATCCCGTAATGGAGGCTCACCCTGGGGCAGATACAAGCAGAAAATACATCTTGTAGATTGCAAATCAGTGGTGGAACACATGCTTTTGTCTTCCAGGGTCAATCCTGGCTACCTCTAGTAAAAAACCTTTCACTTGCTGAGACCCTGAAGAATTACTGCAAGTCAGGGCAGACAAAACCCAGCTAGATGGACAAAGGCAGCGTCTCTATGGCTAGTAGCCATTGTAACTAAAGGGAACCTCCATGTTCATATGCAAACATCCTCTACATACCCGTATCAGGAGGTAACATCAGGGGAAGACTTCAGCCTCTATACGCCTTGTTTGTTTAGCCCTCCAGGCAACTGATTGGCCACTGTGTGAAGCAGGATGTTGGACCACTAGTCTGATCCAGCAGGGCTCCTCTTATGGTCTTATATGTGTACTTGTTAAATGAGCTGTGAACCAGGGTTCAATTCTCACCTCTGCCACCAACTCATGAGGTAAACTTAGTCAAGCTACTTTTTATTTTCTCACCCGAAGCATCTTTTTTCTTCTACAATATAAGGAAAGTAAAAACACTGCCCTATCTTACTGGGCTGTTGTACAGATCACTGAGATAATACATGTGAAGCACTTTGAAAATTCAAATCCAATATAATATTGCTCAATATGACTAGAACTACAGTGGTGTACTATCTCTCATCCCAAGATAATGCGGTTCTGTAGCCACCAGAGCAGGTAAAGGCAACAACATGCTTTCACACTGGTATCTCCAGATGACTGGTATACTCAGATGTTTATTCTAAGCATGGCCAGCAAGGATTTTTTAAAAAGCAAATAAAACTTCCTGAAATGGTTAGATAGCACATGGTATGGAGGTATCCTTTTTTTCTTTTTTGGCTACCCACCTTCAATTATATTATTTTTTCTCCATCACAGCAATATCACACCCGAGAGAAACACACCCACTAAGGCATAATATACAGAAATCATCCATTGTTTGGTCACATGCCAATATGACTAAGAAATGGAGGCAGAGATGCAGATACAGAGTGGGCTATGCAGATGGAGAGGGGGTTAAAGAGTCTCTGGGAGATACTGATGGTTTCAGAAAGCTTTTGCCAGCCAGCCAACACATTTCCCTCCCTCCCTCAGCAACAGTTGTGTCTGAGGGAAGAAAGAGAGACAAGGTTTTCTCCAGAGTGTGCTTGAGATGGATTGTATCCCACAGGGGCACGTGTAATATCCTCAGACTTCCACTTCCCACTTCCATCTGAATCAAAGACATTATTTCATCAGGAATAAAGGGGGTAGGAGATGAGCTGTATTGCTCACCATGAAAGATGGACTAGGGAATCTCTGACAGAGTTCTGAGCAGTCTCACAAAGCCTACATGTCCCAGAATCGCTTGCAGGATATTGGCAGAAGCAGAACAGGTAATCTCTTCTGAAACTGAGTTACACCTCTAGTATAAAACAAGCCTTAACCACAGTAATTTTCAACTCTTCGTCTTCCCTGGCACTCACCGGTGGAAGCTGTCGACCATCTTAAGCTGGCCCCGCAGTTCCTTCTTATTGAGATGGTCCAACATCCGGGCATCGACCAGCGACTCCATGAAATAGCTGCGGTACTGAGGCAAACCAAGGCTGGGCAGCCAGTCGTTCCCTACCCATTCATGGTTCATGTCGCCATAGGCCAAGATCTGCAAAAACAGACAAAGAAGAATGCTCTGTATGTGAGAGAGAAGCAGAGGCAAAGGATTTGCACCAGGGCCTTCTCTCGCCATTGCCTTGCTCCTACAACTTTTGGGCTTTCCTCTTTTACCACAGCCTACCTCTGAGTATGTGTGAAGACTCCATTTAACCCAGCAGAATGTGACTTTTGGTCTGTTGTTCCCACTAACCCAGGGGCTTCGATTCAGATCGTCAGTCTGCCATTAAGCTCACCACATGAACCAGACAGACAGCATGGCGTAGCAGTTGCAGCCCCAGACTAGGATCTGGGGGAATTTGGTCTGAATCCTCAATCTGTCAAGGAGTCTCACTGTGTGACCTCGGGCCCTTTGCGCTCTCTCTCTCTCAGGCCCAAACCAGACATATTTTGGGGACAGATGTATCTGGTAGGGCTGCCAAGCCGCAGCAGGGGATCCACACGGTTCACCGGGATCCCGGCCGCAGGGGACAGCGATAGGCGTTGCACCGCCGTCGCCAGAATGTGACGCTACGCGTCGCTCTGGCAACAGGGCTGTTTGGAGTCCCGTTGCCAGAGCGACGCGTAGCATCACATCCTGGCGACGGCGGTGCAACGTGTATCGCTGTCCCCCACGGCAGGGATCCTGTGAAGACGTGCAGATCCCCCGCCACGGCTTGGCAGCCCTAGTATCTGATTTTCCCCAACCCAAACTCATGTTCCCCACAGTCACACAGAAGCGGCAGGGGATGTCATTTTACAGATCAGAAGGAGACTTTTTCTGCTTGGAACTGTGTTGTGGGAGAAGAAGGGACTCCTTCCCCTTTCTCTGCCTTTTTCAGAAACTGAAACGGCACCCGGCAGAATATTTACACAAGGTTGGGGCGACACCTGCTCAGAATACTCTGTGTGTAACTCCAAAGTCAGGCAAATAGCTCCCTGCTGGGGACCGTATAAGCTTTTCAATATGGCATGAGAAGGAACTCCTCCTCCTTCCCCTCCCCCCATGCCACAGTTCCAAGTGGGAAAAGACTCCCGTCTGATCTTTAAAATGGCATTCCCTGCAGCTGCTGCGCGACTGCAGGGAAAACAAGTTGGGTCAGGGAAAACGAAGTACAACTCGCCCAAAAATGTAAGGTCTAGTTTGGCCCTCAAAGTAGACTCACTCAGGTTGCGGTGACACGCGCCAGTTGGAGCCAAGGGGAAGCAAGGCTATTTCCTCCGGAGGAATCTGACCCACAGTTGTGAGATCACACATTCTCTTTGTGCAGGGGGCGCAGCCCGTCACTGTGTTCAGATGCCACTGCGGGGGAGTTGGGGGTGGTGGTGTTGCCATTTATTTCCCATGTGCATAAACAAGGAATCGTACCACCGCACTGAGGGTTCCCCATGGCGTACACGATTATGCACATACTGCGAAGGGGGGGGGAGGGGAAACGGCACCAAGTCGGGATGGACTGATCAGGCCATCCCGACAGCATGAGTGTGTGCTAGAACAATCAGACGGGGGAAGTCTGTCCGTGGCCCATCAGAACCTGTTTAGAGCCGGACTATCCCTGGTGTCTTTTAACTCCACTTCTGAGGCGGAACAGCATGGGTTGCTGACAACTGCAGGACGTTTCCCAGATGTTGTAGTCTGATCATTCCCTTTAGATCCGTCAGGCATTTGCAGCTATGTCAGATCTAAAGGTGCGTGTGATCACAGCCTCACAGGGCTATTTAACAACACATACAAAGGGAAACCAATGTGGGGTCCTCATGGGATCCTCACTGTTTTGGGTCCTCATTAGAGAGAGAAGCAGGATATAAATATCAAAATAAACATAGGCCCCGGTCACACGGAGCATTTGCCGCGCTAAAGAGACGGATGATAGGCGGATTTTCCGGGCGCGATCACACCGCAACATCTGGGAAGCATAGTGCTCCCATGGCTAACCCGTGGCTTCCCGCCTACAAGGTACTAGTTTCCGAACAACGCGGGGCAAGGGCGGGCGTCTGATCGTGTCCCGTCCTAGTCCCGTTGCAAACTGGTTATTTTTTTTTCCAGTCTGGACAGGATGTGCACAAACGATCATGCGCATGCACACCTTCTGGTGAAAAAAAAAATCCCGATTGCCACGGAAGCGGCGCCTAGCGATTGCTGGTGTGATTGCTCCGCGCCGCTTCTTTGCTGCCCTGCAGAATAGTCGTGTGATCAGCACCTCCCCCCTAACCACGGGACCTCGACGGGACGTCTGATCGGGCAGCCACGTGTTATTTTGCTCTGGGGCAAACAGCCATGCTTCCCCCCTGCATTTTCCGGCCTGTGTGACCGGGGCCATACTTGGGCAAATCTCTCAGCCTTGTCTACCTCACAGAATTGTTGAGGTGATAGAAAATGGGAAAGTTCCATTTGGCTACCCTAAGCAACCTGGTGGAAGGACAATATAAGAAGAAAAATACATAAATCCATTAAAAAAAACCAGCATAAAGGCCCTGACCTGGATAGTCCAGGCAAGCCGGATCTCGGAAGCTAAGCGGGGTTGACTCTGGCAAGTACTTGGATGGGAGACCTTCTTGGAATACCAGCAGTCGGGAGGCGGGGGCAGGCTTTATTCAGCCACCTCTCCGAATATCCTCCAGGCCCCCAGTAGGGGTCAGTCACCAGAGGTTGCCATGACTTTCAGGTGCACACACATGAATATATGAAAAATACAAAAAAAAAAAACCCTCCCCCCCAATCCAGCATAAAGATGCTATTTGCACATTTTGGCTTGGCGGGGCACTGTGGCGGGCATTTTGAAACAAGGATGGAGGGAAACAAGACTTTAAAAAATTCAGAGCCATTGATGGGGTATGTGACCATCATCCAGGCCTAAAACCTTTTTTTTAATCTATTGGTCATATTTTATCCCTCCCTCCCTCCCTTCAAGGAGACCAGAGTGGTGCACAGGGTTCTGTTCTCCACCATTTTTATCCTCACAACAACCCTGCGATGTAGGCAATGCCACGAGAAGCTGGCCAAGCCAAAGTCATTCTGTGAGCTCAATAGCTAAGTGAGTCTTAAATAAAACTCTTAATGATTACATCACACTGGTACTCATGTAATACCTGGGATCTTATTCTACATTTTACTAGTCTATAAAACTCTTGTAGCAAAGCAAATACACACATCAGTGCATTTGCTTGGGGACGCATATAATAGCTACTGTACAATATACCACCACGCCCAATCACAGATGGCCTCCTCTTTCTGTAAACCTAGAAAGCACAGGAAGAACAGGCCGATAGGCAGAGCACAATGAGAAAGTAAACAAATAATCATGCAAAAGAAATCTATTGATTTCTCTCTCTATCCCTACCCTCCCACCTCTAATTAAAAGGCAAGCAAACCAAATACACCTGTGCTTGTGTTTATAGCCACCTGTGGGTACAAACCTCTTACCCGGGACAGCCTCAAACAAGTTAAAGATATTATGGGGATTATTTTCAGTTTAAGGGCAGGGGATTCCCACCGTCAGCAGTGTATGCATTGGTTCTGTCATGGGACCAAAAAACAGCAAGATCTACCTAATGGGTGGCAAATCTCCCATTCACATCCTATACTTCAGATTCTCACAAAACTCATTGTACGCCGGAATAGGGGAGGCATACACAGTTCCTCACTGTCTGGCCCAAGACATGGTCACATGATGAAACTATGACGCTGCCTTATTATACATCGAACAGCCATGGATGCCCCACCCCCAGTAGGGATCAAGAAATCTGCAAGGGATGGCCAGTCAGAGCTCAGGTATAGATTTCTGCAAAGACAGGTAAACCCCCAGGTCTGCAGGGGGGGGGGGGGGCACAATGAAAAGATTTTTTAAAAAGGCCATTAAACGAAATAAGTTTAAAAATGCCGTGATCTCGCGAGACTATGACCTACCGAGTGGGGTTGCCAGCTTTTTAAACTGGTTCCTCCAGCTGCCCTTTTAATATCGGTTTGATCTGCAGCAGCTATCAGGCAATGTTATTTAGCTCCATGCCTTGAGAAGCATCAGCTGCACATTTCTGCACATTACAGGACATTTTCCTCCAGGCCGGCTGGCAACCGTAATTTGGACAGAACTGGCATGGCACGGTGGCTAAGGCTGCAAGGCTACAGCGACAGTACTAAGTAACAGGGGATTTACTTCTGAGTAGACCTGCTTAAGTTTGCTCCCTGGGGGGGGGGGGCAGGTCCCCAGCTCACATGTTGCCTTGCATGTGAGTAGCTCACGACAGCCTTGAGCAAGTTCTGGCTTCTCAGCCTCAACCTGCCCCCTGCTGTTTAAAATACAAATAAACATTCCCCTCTTCCCCCCCGTACACACACACACACACAGGCATGCAAGAAAAGAGAAGGCCACAGTTTGCATCCCTCCCCTACCTGCTCCCAGCTGATCTCCTTTGTCTCCTGGGCAGAGGTTAAATGTGAAGCAGAAAGGCAAGCAGAAAGGCAGGATTAGACACACGCTGTTCTCACACTCTTATTGATAGTGCCGGAAGTAAAAAAGAAGTGCTCCTACTACGGTAAGAGGTCTACATGTCTCCAGTTGTACTCCTTCAGTGTCAAATCAAACTAACTTAGCGCCAAAGAAACAGAAATATTCTCTTCAGAAAAATCAAGCCGTTAAAAAGAAAGCAGAGGAAGGTCGCTAGAGCAATTCCTTACTTTAAAGTAGGGGTGGCCAAACTGCGGCTCGGGAGCCACATGCGGCTCTTTCACACATATTGTGCGGCTCCTGGCAGGGCGGCTGGGGAAGCGAAGGGGAGGCATGCCTCCCTGATTGGTCTTCCCTTCCCCAGCTAGTGTTCCCCTCCCTGGGTAGGCTTGAGGTGGGGGGCAGCAGAAAAAGAAAGCAACTTAACACTTAAATTTGGTCTCAAAGCAGCCCCCCCCCGCTGGCTGGCGTGGAGAAGGCATTTGTCTCTTTAAATCCCTTCTCCAAGCCAAGCCAGCAGGTGTGGGGGCGCAGGGGGCTTGGAGGACACATTTAAAGTTATTTTCTTCCCCTCCTTCCCCCATCTATTTGCTTTCTTTCCACTTTCTTTCTTTCCACCTTTCTTTCTTTCTCCCCTCCCTCCCCATCTAAAGTTAAATGTGTTCTCCAAGCCCCACCACACCGGCAGACTGGCTTGGATCGGAAAAGGCATTTGTCTCTTTAATTTAATATGCACATTTGCATATTTTCCCATTAAAACATGTGTAATGTTTATGTCTTGTGGCTCTCGAACATCTGACATTTATTCCATGTGGCTATTACGTTAAGTAGGTTTGGCCACCCCTGCTTTCAAGGATATTACTTCCTGGACCTATCTTCTCCACTTCCAGAACAGGAAAGGCCCAAATAGCACAATTACTGTTCCTTATTTCAAATTCCAGAGAGGGTCACCTTATTATGGAATTTCAGTCTGGAAACTCCACAGACTGTACCAGGATTAACGATTCCAGTCTTCCCAGACAGAAATAGTAAGCCAGAATGCCTTCATCAAAGGCCTTCCATATGCATGTTAAAGAAGTACGGATCCCCTGTTTACAAACAAAAAAGGATAGATCAAGAGTACCAACTTGCATGGGGAAGAACTATAAAGCTGCCAGAGAGAGTGATATCTTCGAATCTTCCTGTGTGCAGATCATTACACATATAAAAATAGGCACTGGCAATTGCAAGGTGGTATCTTGGAAATTGTTACAACCGGGGAATGCAACAGGCGTGCGGACAACAAACACTGCCGTATCACTTACTGGCTTCGTTGTGGCTGTCAGAGATTCCATCTCTTCATGCGTCATCCACACGTTTCCAGTAGACTGGCCAGGGGAGCAATGAAAGTGAAAAATGGTTATCAATATTTTAAAACATTCCAGCCTCACACACTCGAAGGACTGCCTCTGCCTGTATGAACTTGTGCGGCAGTTCCAATGAACCCATGAAGCTACAGACCACTGTTATGTCAAGATGAGTAATGCCTACCCTGACTGGAAATGGCTCTCTAGGGTTCCAGGTGGAAGTCTTTCCCGTCACCTACTACCTAACTGGAGAGGCCAGGGATTGAACCTGGGATCTTTGGCACGCAAAGCTTTACCACTGAACCACGGCCACACCCCCAAAGGGCAGTGAGCTTCTTCAATCTATTGGTCCACTTTGTTGAAACTTCCACAGAGCATTCCAAGCATGAGATGTTCAAAGGTGGTTTGCACCCTGACCTGGATAGCCCAGGCAAGCTCAGTCTTGTCATATCTCAGAAGCTAAGCGGGGTCGACTCTGGCAAGTACCTGGATGGAAGACCTCCATGGAATACCAGAGCCGGGAGGCAAGGGCAGGCTATATTCAGCCACCTCTCTGAATATCCTCCAGGCCCCCAGTAGGGGTCAGTCACCAGAGGCTGCCATGACTTCCAGGTGAACACACACATTCACACGCACACACACACACAAAAATACCAACAAGAAAGGTGGTTTATTTGCCTTGCTCCACACAGCAACCCCTCTCTCCTTTGGTGGTCTCCAATCCACATACTGACTGTGGCCAACCCTGCTTAGCTCCCAAACCCAGATGAGCTCAGGCCAAACTGTGCTAAGCAGGCTGTCTGAATCAGACTATGGTAGGTACACTCCTTTTCATTATCTTTCACTATTTTGTAGGCTTTTTTTTTTTTTTTGGTAGAAGCCTCCACACTCTAGCACAGTGTTTTGGAGGATGTGTGAAAGTTTATTCATTAGTTTTCCGAAAGGGCTGTAAAACAGGATTGCTTCAACGCTTTCCTGCATGTCTTATTTTCATTGTTTGTGCGTTGTACTGCATTGGGGACTTTTCCCCTTTTCTGCACCTGTTTTGCTCCCTCTAGTGGTCACTTCAATATTTCCTTCCTGCATTTCTGGCTTTTTTAGGAGCACTCGTAGATACAGCGATGAAATATCAGACTAACCACTAGAGGGAGCAAAACACATACAGAAAAGGAGGGAAAAAGCAGTACGGGCCCACAAGTGAGGTTTGTGGGACACGTATCTGCAGGGCCACACCCACCCATCTCTGCCCAGAAGGCAGCTCTGATCATCAGCCTAGAGATTCTTAGCAGTTCCTCTGCTCAGGTCAGTAAGTATGGTTGTTGCCAGGGCTCACAGTTTCTCAGTGGCTGCCCCTGGGCCCTTGGATGAGCTTCGTGAGAATGTGAGGAAGACCCCTGACCTCGTACAGATTTCACTGGTTCTGTAAAACAGAGCTTTTTCAGTGTGCTTCTGGTGACCCAGGAGTGGGGATTGTGGTTTGCTTCCTTTTGCTAATAATTATGCTGACACGAGAAGATACTGTATTTGTTTTGAAACCAGATGTAAGCCACTTTGAGTTCTGCTGACTGGGAGAAAAGCAGGATATAAATATTTCAAATAAATAAACAATTATAAGTGGATGGAGTACATTTGTTATTTGTTTTCCGGACGGAACTGTGTGTTTTCGTTTTCATTTTGTTTTTTTCGGTCTTCGGACCGCTTTCATCTTTTGTTTTGAAGCTCCTTTATTCCACACTGTGACCTGCCCTGGGTTCCAATTTTTACGAGAAAGACGAGTTTATAAATATTTTCACCCAGCAAACAAACAGAAACTTGAGTGGTTATTCTTGGCTCCTTCAGACCCAGCTTGGGGGCAATGGCAGAAGCAGCTCAGGGCTTACCGTGCGGGATGTGGACGGGGCAGAGGGACTGGTGAGCGACACCATCTCCTGAATGGCAAGGCGCAGCTTGAGTCGGTGCAAGGGGTTGCTGATGCCGATCTCCCGCTGGATTTCTGTGTCCGACAGGTTGGCCATTATGGCACCGCTCTTGACATTGGCACGGCAGGCAGCCACGTACCAAGCTGGCATGCCAACCCATAGCTGACAGAGAAAATGGGGGGGGGGAACATGAAGTCAAGCAGACACTGTGCTTTCATAGCTTTGGAAAAAAACAGATGCTCTCTCCATTTATCACTATGCCTTATTTGAGAGCCCCGCAGAATGAGCTTCTGATTCCCATTCTTCAAGTATCTCTTTTTAAAACAAAATTAAGAAAAAGCAGTAGACCCAGGGGTCATTTCCTGCAGGAGCGCACAGGAGCGGAGCTCCGGCTGTAAAGAGCCCAGGGGACGGGCACATGCAACAAGCCCCGCCCCCTGCTCCCAGCAGCCCTCAGTCAGAGCAAGAAGCAGCCAGGTAAGCTGCAGAGCCCCCCCCCCCCGGGCCCGGTTCAAGACAGTCCAGTGGCACCTTTAAGACCAAGTTTTATTCAGGTACAAGCTCTCCCTCCTCTGCGAGTCCAGTGGAGCCTGAGCGGTGGGTGTTGCCTTCTGACACGCTTCCGATGATGTCAGGGGGTGTGGCACATGCAAATAAGTTATGCTAATGAGCTCCTGCACCTCTTTTTCTACGAAATGACCCCTGAGTAGACTTATTTGTTAGAAGTGGAGGACTTTGCCGCTGTTTCCTGTCTCAAACTTGAGAGATGGCACTAAAGAGTTTAGACAGACAGAGAGGTCAGGACACACCTTTCCTTCCTGCTGTCTGATCCTTTCCTTTGAAGTGGGATGCAATTTCCTCTGTTTCCGCTCTCTCCTCTCTCACACACGCACACAAAAGAAAGGTGCATGATCTCTTCATCTCGCACCATGGAGGCTGGACATGTGTTTGGCATCCAACACCATCTAGTTAGTTAGAGTAGGTAATCTATATCTATCTCCTACCTGCACTCTCAAGCATGTATTTCCTTTAATAAAAGTTGCTTATTAGGTTTAGAACTGATTGCTGACTCCGTGTACCTCTGTAAGTCTGTTGCCACACCAAGCCCCAGCAGTCTGCTACTTTCTGCGGTTCCCTGGCAGTACCAAGTCCAGAGAATCCAACACTATTGAGCGAAGCCAAGGAAATCATTACTGAAAGTTTTTGCTGTAGTTTCCAGGAAATTCTAAAGTGCAATCCTAAACAGAATTATACCTTTCTAAGCCCACTGACATCAATGGAAGTAAAAGGGTATAACTCTGCTTACAACTGTGCTGTTACGGCTTAGGTCACAACAGATCTGGTTTTTAAGGCATAAAATCGAATGAAGGCTCATGTATGGTACAGAGCAGTGGAGGTTCTTTGGATATGGCTGCACTGTATTCAGCTCCAATGCACATTTTCCTCTACATGGCAGGGTGTCTGGGGGAGGGCAGTTCTGCAAATCTGAAGCAGATGTTACAGTGTCAGACTCAGGATCTGGGGGGCCAAGGTTCAAATCTCCGCTCTGCGATGGAAGCTTGCCAGGCCACTGCCGGACTGGTATCCATTTTGGCTTACTTTGGCCTAAGCACTGCCCGGCACTTAAGGTTTTAGGGTGATGTGCAAAGGGGTGCTTTTGCCTTAAGCTACCTCTCGGGGGGAGAAGGGGCCCGACAGCTAACAGGATGACCTTGGGCCAGTCACACTCACTCTCAGCCTAACCTACACCTCACAGGGCTGTTGCGGGGACACAATGGAGGAGAGGAGAACAACATAAGCTGTTTTGGGAAGACCGGCAGAGTATGAAGTTAAGTAAGTAAGTAAATAAAGTTGACTGTGGACAGAGCTGCCTGTTTGCTCTGTGATGCTGCTATGACACCTCTCCGCTACATAGTCACAGAACATTAAAAAGTTTGCTTACTTTTGTAACTAATAAGGGAAGAATGGATGGATGCATGTTTCTACAATTTTTTAAAAACCTCTGGAGAAAGGCAAAACAGATTGCTAAGCCAGAGCTCAGTCTGCAGGTACGAATGTCTGTCATGCCAGTACTGAATCTGGGTCCACCCAGCAGCTGAGGGACATGGTGGGGACATCTGGACAGAAATTCTGCAGACAAACTTTTTCAGATCATAGTAACACCTTTCAATGGGTCAAGAAAGGGTTTAACAGAAGTCCTCCTTACACCTACTTCACCTTTTGCATTACCCTTTTTGTGATCCTGGTCACAGTGACTGCTTTCTCCATCACTGCAGCATATTATTAATTTCTTCTATTTTTAACTAAATGATGCTAGATTGAGTGCAGGAAGCACTGCCCTCGCCCTGTCCGGGCTTTAAACATCATCACATAGCAAAATTCCACTGACAAAGCCAAAACAGAGTGAGGGCAATGTCTTCTGCCCTCGCTCAGGCATCTTTCATTAAAAAAAAAAAGTAGATGAAAAGCAAAAGCCAACTGGCAGCAGTAGAAAACTGAACTGCCAGCCCCAGTAACTGGAACAAACATTTCCTTCCTCTTTCCTCCTTCCCCAGGGTGGATTAAGATGTCTGAACAGCTCTGGAGCAAGCTGAGGCCAGTGGCTCCTGCACTGCCAGTGGCCAGGGGACTCAGCTTGCTCTCAGTCACCAATGACCCTCCAGGGCAGGCCACCAGGAACTTTTCTGGTAAGTTAAACCTGCCCCTGATCTCTCCCTCCCAGGGGCAAAGCCAGAAAAATTTTGGTTGGTGGGGCATGGGGAAATCAGAAGAAGTAGCTCTGGCTCCGCTGCGACCTCTAGTCCTCCTCTAGTCCTCCTCTAGTCCTCTCGATTGGAGACACTCAATTCCGGGCTGCTTTTCTGTGTAAGCAGGGAGGGGAGGGGATCTCCGACTCTCTCTCTTTTGCATTTTGCTATTTTACTTTATTTTTTGTAATTTTATTTTATTTTATTTGCATTTTTTAAAACCTATTTATTTTTCAAAAAAAGCCCCCCAAAAATGAGATTGAAGCTTCCCTGACTGTGCCCAGAATCATTTTGGAAACCCCACGTGCATCTCACATTTTTTTAAAAAAACCTGATTGTTTTTTGTCCACAGGGGGGCGGCACTCATCTGTTGGGGGCATTGCCCCCAACCCCCCCCCCCCCCGTGGCTACAGGCCTGCTCCCTCTGATCACCAAGGAGGAAGTCCATATTTGGAAAGTGAGGGCAGTGAATCTGGACTTGGTGCGGGGGGGGGGGTGTTATGACTCAATCCTGATGCAACAACACTTCTTTGGATACATGTATCTTTCCTTTTGCCTGAGATTATACAGGTTATGCAAGTGTTAGTTCCTGGATGCCCAAGTACTGCACGCTGCAACCACCAAGATCTATGAACTCGGTAGACCCTCCCAACTTCTCCTTTCTTGCCCCAAAACTGAGGATCTATGTATGATCTGCACCAGGATATCTAAATTCTATGTAGGAGGCAGCCCCATCAATTGCTTCTCCCAAGATACCCGACTTCTCATCCAGATGTGAACAAACTGTGGGATTACTAACACTGCAACTCAAATCAATCCTGATTTGCTAGTCTGACCTCACCTTTCCATCCATTTATTCTATACGGCTGAAGCACTCAAGGCCTCTTCACACACTGAGGTTTTAAGTGTAAACCTCAGACTGTTTTCAGTAAATGTAAAAAAAAAAAAACCCACTCAAACTCATATGAGAACACTAGTTAGAAGGCCAGGACTGGCTGCGGTTTCTTGTGGATATCCTGTGCAAAGTTACTTCAGTCTAAGCCAGCTGATGTCACTGGGTTTAGACTGGAATAACTCTGCATGGAATTATGCTGTGAGTGACCGGCCCAAGTCTGCCACCACACAACGTGTGAACTGGCCTTCAGCTGTGTTCTTATCAGCTGTCCACAAAACTCTGCCCTGACATGACTGGTGCCATTTTCTTCTCCTAACTTCACTGGCAGACACTTCCTTCGTCAGTCGTACCTCACAGCTCCTCATTCAAACGTCTCCCTCTACCCTCATTACCTCCAGCCACGACACAACGGTGGGACCGTCCCAGGCGGCGAAAGGCAAGCCTTGCCGACAAGCTTCTTCTAATAACTCGTGCCTGAGGAGAAACAGAGACAAACTCAGAAGGAAAGAGGAGAGAAGAAGATCTGAAAACAGGGTTGCCAGCCCTGGGTTGGAAAAAGCTTGGAGACTTTGGGGGTGAAGCCAGGAGAGGGCGGGGTTTGATGAGGGGAGGGGCCTCAGCATGGCGCAATGCCATAGAGTCCACCCTCCAGAGCAGCCATTTGCTCCAGGGGAGCTGATCTCTGTCAGCTGGAGATCAGTTGTAAAAGCAGGAGATCCTCAGGCCCCACCTGGAGGCTGGCAACCCTATCTGAAGATCTGCAACTTTCATCTGGTCAAACATCCTCTTTCCCTTTCATCCACCCATGGATCCTTGGTCTGCTGCTCCAAGCTTTCTGGTTGGCGTTAATGCATTTTAAAAGTTTCAATCTTTTATCTTCCTGCTCATTCACACAATAATCCTGAAAAGCAGTTGACTATAATTGCTATCTTACAAGCAAATAAGCTAAAGTTACAAGCAAATGAGCTAAAGAGGTTAGGGAAAGGTGGTCTAAGTGCTACTACTGGCTGTTTCCACTCTAGGAAACTTTTATGGCACTCAGCCATTTCTTTTCTGCAGTTATCTAAAACTGAAAATGAAGATGCACACAGTATTTAATATAGCACTACATTTCTCATGAAAATCCAGCAATGTCCATCCCAAGAGTAAGATCCTACCATACCTTTATGGAGAAGTAATCCTGTTCAGCCCAAAGCCCCACTGTTCTGAACAATTTTTCATTTTGTTCCTTTGTTTACCAGCCCAATCTATTACTTCTAAAGCATTCATTAATCAATTGTTAATATTTGTTTCAGAGAGAATAAATACTGGTTTTCACTTGCAGCTCCAGCCATTGTTCAGTATTTTAAGTTTTATTATGATAATACTGTAATGATAAAATAAAAACCAATAATGAGCAGTGGCTTTGGCTACAAAGTGGAAAGCAGTTCTTAATTTCCACCCTCACAAAGCTCCCAGAACTGATCACTGATTATTCATTCAGGACTGCTGTGTGTAGTGGCAAGAATATTGGAATTAGTTAAGCTGGAAAGGAATTAATCAAGAAGGAAAGGAAGAATAGAATAGTATCCCCAAGTAACCTCTATAAGGCTTTAACTGTCCACACTGGACAATCTTGTGCAATTTAAGTTAACCATCACAAAACAGTCCTGGGGGGGGGAAACAGGAGAAGAACAGGGAAAATGCTAAAATGCAACAGATTGGCAACAGTGTCATCTAAATTCTTGTAAAAACCGGAGTGAAGTGAAATTATGAAAATTCCAGTGTAAATGGCTACTATGGAAGTAGGAAAGATGAAAAGAACAAGGTGCAAGGTAGAGAGTTTATTTAGCTCTGTAGAAGGTATGCCACTATGGCTGCGGTCACACACACTAAATAATCCACTTTCAATCCACTTTCCAACTGGATTTTGCCAGTTCACACAGTAAAAATCCAGCTGGAAAGTGCACTGAAAGCAGATTGAAAGTGGATTATTCAGTGTGTGTGACCGCAGCCTAGGTCTGTTTTTTACCATTCTAATTTTAACCATGTATAAAAATAACCCTGTGAGTTCTTGTTTATTATAGAATTGTGTTGTAGACTTGGATATATAACGATAGGAATCTTACAAGGCCAACTCATACCATGCTCAGACTGTTTGTGCATTTTATAATTTTTAGACAGTGTGAATTTGTTATATATTTTAATGGATTTGTGTTTGTATGTTATTTTGTATAATCGATCCCCTGATGAAGCTCATAGCGAAATGTGTTAGGGATCAGTAAGAGCTAAATAAACTCTCTACCTTGCACCTTGTTCTTTTTCGTCTTCCCTGCCCACTGGTGCGACCATCATTTCTCCCGGTTACTATGGAAGTAACCAGTTATTCCATGAGCCAAGCCTGGGTCTCAAAGGACCAAGTCTAAGAAAGCATATTGCTTTGCCAGCCTTCTGCATCAAGCACACACATCCCATCCCGGGTCGGTGACCCTGCCTTCCCCTTGCTATTCTGCCTTCCTATTCCCCTCATTCCTTCTTACTTCTTTTTGTTCCTACGGTCCTTGTCCACAGGTCCGGAGAGCTTAGAAAGGCCCAGGGGGTCTCCAGGTGACATCTCATCTGATGGTGTCCCAGCTGTAAAGGAAGACAGATAAGGTAGGCACCTGCGCAGATACACAACCCTAGGCTGATCTTTCTTGTAATCAAGACAGTGCTTTGGAGCAGAAGGTGCAGCGGGAGTATCAAGAGCCAAGGCAAGCTACTTCTGTGGTTCCTGTGGACTTTGCCAACCATAATGGCACATTCAGAAACCGATAGTAACCTAATAAGATTGTGAAGGCAGCACAAAAAGAACTGGTAGTGCAGGATTCGGGGGGGGGGGGGAAATCGGGGGAAGGGGAAAGGGGCTGCTACCTAAGGGTTATTTGGTTTGCCGGAAGACTGAAGAGTCGGGTTTCGTCTAGCCATTTTTTTTAAAAGCAGGAAAGGATGGTGAGGGAAAAGAAGAGCAAATACAGCCACAGCTCTGGGTGGGGGAAGCATACCAAGCGAAGGAGACTCACGGCCCAACTGTCCCAGCCTCCCTTTCTCTTTCTTGCCGAAGAGGCGCCCGATGGAGGATTTGATACTTTTCTTCTTGGTGGATTTGTGCAAAGAATCCTGGCTGCTGTTGGTGATTTCCGACCCCATGCTGTGCCAACAGAAGGTACGGAAGGGATAAGACGGGGATTTAAAACCAATAAACACGTTCCGTCCCTCAAAGAGGCTCCAACCCTAAAAGCAGGCCTTTTGTGCCCTCGCTGTCGCTCAAACCCCCCCCCCACCATTTCTTGACTCTAACCAACACCCAATGCCACCCTCACAAACGTCCAGGGTCCCAGTTCTCAACTATCCTGAATTTATGTATTTATTTTTTAAACATTTTTATGGTGCCTTTCCACCCACTCATGGTCCACAAGGCGGCGAACAAAAAACCCACCCACATTAAAATGTTTAAATATTTAAATAATTAAAAATAAGTTTAAAACTATAAAATAATTCAACTAAAAAAACAAACACCACTAGAAGGAGGGCCAATAACCATTACTGAGGGTGCACAAGACGAAACAAAAAAGTCTTCACCTGGTGGTGAAAGACACCACTAGAGGAAGACAGATGAATTTCCCTGGGGAGGGAGTTCCAAAATGTTGATGCCACGATGGAGAAGGCCGTTTCTTAGGCTGCCACCCGTCTAGCTTCAGACGGCTGGGGCAACAGAAGCATTTGGGGCTCTTTAGCTTGGAGAAAACGACGACTGAGGGCGCAGTGTTCCCTCTAAGCTGAGTTAGTGTGAGCTAGCTCACAGTTTTTTAGCCTCTGGCTCGCACGTTTTTGTCTCAGCTCAGGAAGGATGGCTCCAGAGCAAATTACCAAATTCCTCGCTCACAACTTTCATGCCAGTTGCTCACAAAGTAGAATTTTTGCTTACGAGACTCCACATCTTAGAGGGAGCACTGCTGAGGGGTGACATGATCGAGGTTTACAAGATTACACATGGGATAGAGCAAGTAGAGAAAGAAGTACTTTTCTCCCTTTCTTACAGTACAAGAACTCGTGGGCACTCAATGAAATTAATGAGCAGTAGGCTTAGAACAGATTAAAGGAAGTACTTGTTCACCGAAAGAGTGATTACCACATGGAATTCACTGCCACAGGAGGTGGCGGCGGCTACAAGCATGGATGGCTTCAAGAGGGATTGGATAAACATATGGAGCAGAGGTCCATCAGTGGCTATTAGCCACAAGGTGTAGGTAGGAACTGTCAGTCGGGGGCAAGTGATGCTCTGTCTTCTTGGTGCTTGGGGGGGGGGGTCAACAGTGGGAGGGCTTCTAGTGTCCTGGCCTGGTGTCCTGGCCTCCTGATGGCACCTGGTATTTTTGGCCACTGTGTGACAGAGTGTTGGACTGGATGGGCCATTGGCCTGATCCAATGTGGCTTCTCTTATGTTCTTATGTTTTTACGATGACTGGAGCGAGCGGGCAGGTTTGTATGAGAGAAGGCAGTCCTTTAAGTACGCTGGTTAGAAAGACACCTGTTTCCATTCCCACTTTCAACCTCTTTTTGAATTCCCGTTTCAAGGCAAAGCACTAACAGGACTTCTCAAAAATCCTGTCTTCCTGCTAGGGTGGTAACCAACTTTTGTTGCAAGGTGGGGCTGCCACGCTCCCAACTGGGGCTTCTAAATTCAAAGGTGTCAGTGGTTTTCAGAACCTGCTGTAGCCCTGTTCCAGGCCCAAGACCTTCTTATTTATTCATGAAGATTAGCATCAGAAATACATATTAAACACATCACAAATGGGTTTATTTTCTTAGGTGGAGGTCATGCAACCACTTGAGCTATGGCCCTCCTGCCATAGCTCTCACAGACCCTGCTTCTTTGCTGCCAGTATTAAGCATAGGGCCCTGATCCCAACTTCAGCTGTGTTCCTCGAGAGTCTACTCAAACCTGTGTAAGGGCCCCTGGCAGGCTTCCCAAGTACTTACCGTGATTCGGCGGGGGACAGTTGCACTCCACCATGCCGTCGCCAGGAAGTGATGCCGGGCGACGCTCTGGCAATGGGGCTGGAAACTCGATGGTACCATCGGGTTTTCAGTCCCATTGCCAGAGCGTCGCCCAGTGTCA